TGTGGGGAGCAGAACTGTGATAAAAACACATGTTGATGTCTGGATATGCCATAGTTTTTCAAACCCTAACCCTAGCCTCAGCTTGCTAACCCTAACCATAATTTGGGGCCTTAGGGTGAATCAACAGGTTGTTGGAAAGTAGGCAATATGCTACTAAAGCATGCTGAATTGTGGTTTCCTATCCGTGTGGGGAGCAGAACTGTGATAAAATCACATGTTGATGTCTGGATATGCCACAGTTTTTCTAACCCTAACCCTAGCCTCAGTTTGCTAACCCTAACCCTAATTTGGGGCCTTAGGGTGAATCAACAGGTTGTTGGAAAGTAGGCAATATGCTTCAAAAGCATGCTGAATTGTGGTTTCCTATCCGTGTGGGGAGCAGAACTGTTATAAAAACACATGTTGATGTCTGGATATGCCACAGTTTTTCGAACCCTAACCCTAGCCTCAGTTTGCTAACCCTAACCCTAATTTGGGGCCTTAGGGTGAACCCAGAAGTGTTCACTGCTCAGTACTCGGAATGAATGTAAGATAAACCAACGATAAATCTGTTTTTGATAAACTAACCACGTCTATAATTTATACTTTTTCTTTTGCTACGATTTGCTATTCTTTGCCAGATAATGTGATAAGTAAAATGCATTCCACCAGTTGGCAACAGCAGCAAGTGACATACATGCCAGTTTTAGCCGTAAAAAAGGAATTTTTATTATAAATGATGACTGTGAGGCAGTACTAAATGAAGTTCAACATGCCTAATATTTTACACAATAATTCCTCTAAACAAAAGGAACAAAAAATTGATGTGCCCTTGAACTTCTACAAGTTTTTTGGTAATGTATTGTGACCCACCCTAATATATATATATATATATATATATACACACACACACACACACACAGTATATAAAAATTATTATTAGAGATGTGATGTTACCAAAAACTCACAGTACGATAATATCGCGATAAAAGGTTCACAATATGATAATTATCACGGTTTTCCTTCACTCTCTGGTCAAACTCCTCCCAAACCATCTCTGCAGTGTTTAGGTCATGTGGCCACTGATATACGTCCAAAAGCATAATTTTTTTGGCTTCAGGTTCATCACACCAGCTATGCTGGCACAGACACAACAGAACGGGATACAATGTGGCTGTTAATGCTATTTATTCATAACGTAATTTTTATTAATAAAAATAGCATTCAGAATAAAACGAGAAATAAAACCAAAACTATTAATTTTGTACATCATATTGAAAAGCACGAATGAATTGTCTTTACATAGGATCGTGTTTAAAAAAACTCTTAATAAAGCCTGACAACCCAGCACAGTACCCACTGAAATGCAGGGTCTAACTTTGCAAGAACCTAAACCAACCTGGTGATCACTTGGGCTTTGAGGCAACACTGTTGCCTTGAATTTTGCAGTCATTCCAGAATAATAATACATTATATATGTACGATGATGTAGTAACAGCAAGTCAGTTGGGATAAGCTGAGCAGCAGATAAACACTGCCTCTTGTGGTGAGCTTGATAGTGCAAGTTTATCCCCGCTGCCCTTGACTTGGGGTTACTTGAGCTCAGCCAGCCAACATCCAACTTAAAGCAGTGCTGATGGGTGGAAAAGCAGGATGGTGAACAGGGGTCAGAAACAGACATGATGGACTACAGCCAGTGAGCCAGTAGCCACATCTGCCAAGGCGAGCTTTTGTCATTTCTACCATTGTACGTGTCACCTTAACACCATCAAGTGTTAAATAAAACAAACAAAAAAAAATGCAGCTACAAAAAAGATTCATAGTAATGTCACTGGAATAGGTTGAGACTCAAAAAAATGGCTTATCAAGTCAGACATTTCGGAAACCTATGAAGGCGCTTTGGTGTTTAGTATCTACAAACAGTCAGCTCTCCTAATAGAGGGTCTACATGACAAGGGGATTGAGTACATGATGGCAACCTGCAGGAATCACACAAAGATGTGGCGAGCTGTGATGCATGCGGAACTGGAAAACACAAGCAGCTGTGGGATCAACCAAGGAAGGGGAGACATGAGATACACTGGAGCTTCTGCAGCAAAATGGATGGAGGAAGACACAGGTAAAGAAAAGATCCGTCACATTTTGGACTTATCTTGGATAAGATCAGAGTTTCTTTGCAACACAACCTATTGGAAATGTTTTTACGCTTTTCTTTTAAAAATGTACAGTGACAACAGGCATATGATATGCGTCAAGTTCCCAGAAGTTTTTAATAAGGCCACTGTGACCCCATCATATCGGGGGCAAATCATGCCAACAGGAGGTCATCGTGCTCAAATGTCTGAAAAATATGAGCCATTTCTGACATACCAAGTAACATCCACATGGCAAAAAAAACACATCTTTAGGTTCTTTTAAAAAAAAAAAAAAAAAAAAAAAAAAAATCTAGAATTATGGGTGGGGGGGATTAAAAACAATGACAAACAGAATACTGAATTTAAAACAAAAATGGAAAGAACTTGAATCTGTTTCCCTGATTGTTCTAAGCAGTGGTTCCTTCAGCGCTGGCCTGTCCCGATTAGCTGGGACCATCCTCAAACTTCCTGCATTTGCTTTCCTGTATCTCCTTTGTACTGGTCTCTTCCTCTATTCCCAGGGTCGAGTCAGAGTCACTGTCCGAATCTTGCTCCTGCTCTTTCTGCCCATCGGCGCCGCCCTCCTGTTCCAAGGGAACGGCCCCTTTTCTCTGGGGCAAGATAGTGAAGAAGGCCTGCTGCCAGTCTCTCTTTTCCAGGTATGCCAGGATGATCTCAAAAACTGCAGGAAGAACACAAGGCCACATCACAAAATGTGTTCCGAGTGAAATTTTTAACATTCAATCCTTGGTGAGAAACTGTAGCTAGCAGAGGAACTCACCATGGTTAACAGCCAGCACCTTGCGGCTGTTCATCTTGACAAAGCTTCCCAGTGGGAGCTGGGCGTGGTCAATCCCAAGCTCCTGAGCTCGCTGGAAGGTAATCCCCTGGGGCACAAACACACACAGAAGGCAGGCACATTAGGTATGTTCCATATTCCACGTAATACAGACAGTGTTCCCGGTACTCACAGTCCCTCACATGGGCAACATCTACCTTGTGGTGGTTGTGGTCAACCAGACCCCCTATGATATAGGCCTTGCTCTCATCCAGCTCCGTCAGCACGTTGGGAGAGTCTGAAGTGAGGTACACCACCTCCTCTTTGCTGATGACCTGTTGGAATTGCTCTGGCCTGATGTTAATGTCCTGACGGGAAGGGGGGGTGGGTGGGTAGCACAAGAGTGTCACAGGTGTTAATTTCATTTTACTGCAAGGCATGTTTCAGTGTCATCTAATGCTCTATCTTCAGTTACAGTACTCCAAAAAGGTCTGCAATCAGATCAGGTTCTCAAGGAATGGGAGGGGGGAGGGTGTTCAAAGCCAGGGGACGATTCCATATCCTCAAGCACATGGAAGTCTAATCCCCTAATCTGTTCGCTGAGTGATAAGAGGTGATAAGCTACAGTAGATGGGAAGATGAAGAGTGGGCACTTTCATACCGCAGGAACCAGAACCTTTTTCGGGAAGAAGGAACTTCTGTTACGTTCGCATCCGGAACCCTTTTTTAGTACCTACCCCAGATCAGGTACTTTTCGTTCAAACATGCACTACTGGGGAGGGGCTTACTGTGATAAACTTGCCAACTGGTTCACCACAAGTACTTGCGCTCACTTGGAAGTTACACAGAAGTGCAGGGAAGAGATGCAGAAGAGCAAAAATTGAGCAGATGGAATTATTTTTGTACCACAATCACATTTAACTCTTTCATTGTCGCCGCCTAGTGGTTCGGACGCATACGTCCGAATTTTCAATAACAGAAAAAAATGACGTTCAATAAAAGAAACAAA